TGAAAATAGGAGGATCACTAGAGTCCGATCTATGTAGTGAGACCTGTAGAACCTGTACTAAACACAAAAAATAATAAAATAAAGCACCTGCTTAGACAAACACGAGGCCTGCAGTTCAATCCCTGGCCCCACATGCCATGCCAGCCCTGCCCCAGGGGGGGCTGGGCCAGCCAAAGTCTGGGACAGTTGTGGCGCACACCTGTAATCGCCCTCCACCCTGCGGTGCAGCAGGAATGGGGCAGGTATCAGGCTGTGCTTCTCCAGTTTCCGCCACTCGGCCTGAGTCAGGCTTGGAGGACAGAGCTGTCCAGCCAGTGGCTTGGTGGAAAGCCACACCTCTTTGGTAGATCAGAGTGTTTAAGACAGAGGGCTGGACAGCATGACTGCGGTCATGGTGCCGGCACAGAATTGGTGTCCGAAAATACTGGTTAGGGCTGGGGAGATGGCTCAGTGGAATAAGTGCTTCCCTGGCAAGCGCAAGGGCCTGAGTTCAATCCCCAATCCTACCAAAAGAAGGAGGAGGAGGAGGAGGAGGAGGAGGAAGAGGAAGAGGAATAGGAAAAACAAAATCAGTGCATGAAGTTAATTTTGATGTTTCTTTTAAACTTCAAAATACCACCTCAAAGTGCAGTTTGAAGCACGGTGTGGTGTCCCCATTGTCTCAGCGCCTTTGCCCTCCTGTGCACTTCCTGCGTCCAGCGTGCCCCACACAGACTGAGCTGAGGACCCTCTCGGGCTATGATTCTCCATTCTCATGGTGGCTGCTGGGATGGCACACACAGAACTCCCATTTTCCTGCAATCCCAGAAAGTACCAAGAGCTAACCCCTTTTCTGAATGCTTTTCTGCTCTCATCACTTACATAGCATTTATGAAATCTCGCCTCTTTTCCTCACAGCACACCCCCCACCCTGACCCCCGCACACATAGCCGACTCCCCAGCCACAACCCACAAGCCCATCCTGGCACAAAATATCACTCACGGCCGGGGGGGCTCTGGCTGGGTCTCTCGCCCAATTCCTTCTGCGCTTCTCCTCGTCCTCTCGAAAAAACACCATGAAAATAGCCCAGGACTTCCTCCCTGCCCCCGGA